CTGCGGGAGTGGGGGGAGTTTCAGTTTTTACCAAGGGGCCACGTGGATTGGCCGTGGCCCTGAGCTCCGGAGGTGATTTGAACTGTCCTGAGCCCTGTCCCTCTGTCCTTCCCCCATCCTCTAGTGAAGAATGACCGAGCTGACACCCTCATTTTGAGCCTTGCTAACTCTTGGTTAGTGGAGGCAGATGGGAAGGGGTTAGTGCTGCTGCCAAGCTACGTCAGGCCTTGCTGAGCATGGCGTGGAAAAAGCAGCTCTGATGGCATCCTGGTTCCTGTTTCTCTCAGAATAGGCCTTTAGCATTCTGTCACTGGAATCTTCTGTGAGCGTGGCGAGCTTTCTCCGGAACTCGAAACTGAGTCTTCTGAAAGTCTTACCCCCTGGTTACTTTCTTTCCTTGTGCATTTAGTTAACTTTCCAAAGATGATAGGAGAAGCAAGCTGGGCACACTGGTACTTGGTACGTTTCAGCCGAGTCTGTAGGTAAGGATTGCCGTGGGGAGCGGTGCTTCTAAGTGGTTCCACTCCTCTTGGCAGGGAGAAGGCTCACAGGTCTGTGGCCTTGCAGCATTGTGCAGTTACACCATGCACCTTAAATCCATCAAGGCCCAGGACGACACTTAGGTCATCAGAACAACTCTGGGATATGTGCAGAGGGAGAGTGTCTGATTGATTATGCCCCCAAAGGTGTGAGCCCTGGGCATAGGGAGGCGTCCCAGGACCTGCTTTTGGGCCCTCTCACATGCTCCCCACCCCTGCCACTGGGAGCCTGTGGCTTAGGCCCTACCATGAGGCTTGGTACATAACTGAGCACATATATCTTGAGCAACTGAAAATAATTGCACAGACCCATTCTCCTGGGTGCTGGATGGAAGGGGTGGAGGGACACACAGAGCTGAGACCCCCTGCTGAGACAAGCAGCCCCTGATCACCAATTCAGGGCACTTGATAACCCCGTGAGTTCTTAAGTGACAGGACTCAGCGAGAGCGGGTGGACTGGGGGACCATAGGACTCCACACGGCCCTCTGCACAGGCTTCCATCTTGGGTAGGTGGCAACACGGCCAGCATCCATTCCCACTCCCAGCCCTGGTCCAGTCCGTTCAGCAGTCCTGGGGAAAGAGCCTGCTTCATTCCTCAAAATTCCAGTGAACATATTAGTATAGAGTCGCACCGGTCAGTCCTGGGTGTAGGCCCCGTCACAGTGGTCGGGAGGATGACATTGGCTGATTGGCCAGGCCTGGCATGTGTCCACTCCCCACCTGATCCCCAGGGCCCAGGGATGTGCAGCACCCGGGGGCCAGTGCCCATACTGGGATCCCACCTGCTGAGCTGCCTGGAGGCGGGTGGTTCCCAGAAAAGTCAGGGTGTGAGTGCAAGGAGCAGGCGGCGTTGTGCTGGCACGAGTGAAATGGCGCCTGTCTACCACATGTCAGTTGTTACAGCTGCCTGGCCAGCATTCACCACTGCCTCGGCCTTCTTCTCTTCTGGGTCTTGAAAGTGGCTGGGCTGGCAGTCTGGGTGGGGGTGATGTGAATGAGGTTCGTGTGCTGTCTCTCAGGGCTTCAGCATGGGCATAGGAAAAGATGGACGGGTCAATGCCATCAAATCGAGTGCCTCTGTGCTGGGTTCTGTCCTGGCTGTTGAGGTCACATCAGCGAGCACCACGCATGGGCCTGCCTTTCTGGGCCTCTTGTGCAGCTGGGGAGACATTACACAAATAACATCCCCAGAACCTGAGTGGGCCTCAGCATCCTTGCCTGTAAGGTGGGGCTCCAGGGCCTCAGTTGGGATCGGGCTGAGTCGGTGAGTGAGTGGCTGCCATCAATTGGGACAGGGGCAGGCGCTACCCAGGAGGTGGGACAAACCAAGGAAACAGCTGGGCAGGTGCTTGTGCCCTTGGCACAGAGGTGCCCCAGGCTGGCGGCTCCCTGGGGGGTGGGAAACTGCCTGGGTGTGTACGTGAGTTGTCAGTGTGTTTGTCAGCAGGCAGGCATTCTTGGTGCCGACTTTGGCAGGATCTGTCAGCTTTGGGACCCTGGGCCGCCACTCAGTGTTGGCTTGGAGAGGTCACTGCTCTGCCTCCTCAGGACCATTGTGGCTGCTCTGTTTTAATTTGCTTTTTGGCTTTCTCAGTCTTTTGAGTCTTGCGTTATCCCGCCCATAACTCCCTCCAAAGGAGTCTCTGCCTGGGTGCGCTCGCAGGCACCCCAGTTAACACAGCGCCCCAGAGTGGAGCTGGTACTAGGTGTGTTGGTTCCAGGGCCATAGTACTAAGGTGAGGTAGCTGGGATCCCAGCGGGGGCTGTCCGTAAGGAGAATCCCAGAGGGGCTTGGCCCCACACTCGGAATGTCCAAGCCCAGGCATTCAAGATGCTGTTCAGCCCAAGCTTAGTACCAGCTACCTCCCGGCAGGGCAAGGGTGGGGCAGGTGGCAGGTGCTCCCTGAGGTGCCTAGGGACCTAGAGCAGGGAGGCCCTTGGAAACACAGGTGTGTTGATAATGGAACTGATACCGGCATCAGGGCCCTTGAATGTGACCTTAGTGGAGAGGGCTTGGACTTAGGAGTCCCAGGGCTTGAACTGGAGTTCTTCCTGGTCCTTGACTCTCGTTTCCCCCAGCACAGTCTGCAGACCAGAGGCAACAAACATCTCTTAAAACGTCCTGACACTGGCCGGGTGCAGTGGCTCACACCTGTAATCCCAGCGCTTTGGGAGGCCGAGGTGGATGGATCACCTGAGGTCAGGAGTTCAAGACCGGTCTGACCAACATGGTGAAACTCCATCTCTACTAAATACAAAAAATTAGCCGGGCTTGGTGGTGCATGCCTGTAATCTCAGCTATTTGGGAGGGCGAGGCAGGAGAATTGCTTGAAGGCAGGAGGCGGAGGTTGTGGTGAGCCGAGATTGCGCCATTGCACTCCAGCCTGGGCAACAAAAATGAAACTCTGTCTCAAAAAACATGTCCTGACACTGTAGGGTGGTGAAGTAGGGGACAGAGCCGCATTTGGGAAATTGTCTGATGACCAAGAGGCTGGTCTGGAGTGAGGAAACTGGAGTGAAGGTTTAGCAATCACAGCAAGATTTGGGGAAATGTCGCAGGGTCTGGAATTCAGGTTGGGCAATTCTGATCATTCATGGCCGAGCTGTTGGCACGGCCTCCCTCAGACCAGCTCAGCCTAGCCCCTCAGGCTCTGTGCCACTGCATCTGAGGGCCCAGCTTCGAGGATGTGCTCAGGACGTAGTTGTCATGTGTCCCCCATGTGTCAGTTGTCCAGTGAGTTGTGGAGGCCTGAGTAGGATGGGAATCTCACTTTACAAGAAAGCAGTAGTGAGGTACAGGGTGGAGGTGGAGCTGGGACCGCAGGGCACAGCCTGGACCTGCTTCCAGTGCTCTCTCCCCAGCCCCTAGAAGGGCTGACCTTATCGCCTCGGAGCGCTGTGGGCTGCAGGGTTGGACAGCAGTGCCTTAGGCAGGGCCTGGGTCTGCGTTCTGCCTGGAGCTTGGGGGCTCAAGCAGCAAGGCCAGTTTGGCCCCTGTGCCCTCCCTGCCTAAGCCCAAAAGCAGGGACCTTGCCTAGCTCTGATTCCTTCAGTTTCTCTGGCTCTTTGCCATGGGAGGAGTGAGCAAGACAGAGCCAGGTAGCTGGACACTCATTTCTTATTTCATTGGAGCATGAAATCGTTTCCTTCCTCTACCAGATTGTTACCTAAGTAGGAAATTGACTTAGAGCAGGAGGCTGCAGGGGAGGTGTATACTTTTGAATATTAAAAATGAAAAACTTGGTTGTTTAGGGTTTTTGTTTTTTGGCCCCATTACCAGCAGGAAGACAGCAGCACAGGCTTTTAGGGAGTCAAGATGCTGGAATGCAGTTTGCTTTTTGGCCACATTTTCTCTATAGGCATATGAGTTTTGCTGGATGTTAATGACAGTGCTTTGGAAATCCCCCAGATCAAGCAGGCAGTGAACCTGTTTGTTGGCACAGACCGTCACTCTGAGCACCAGATCCCCAGGCGTGGTGGAGAGGGGCAGACGAGGGAGGCAGGGGAGGTGTTGCTCAGACCTAGGATCCTGGAGTCACTTGGGGGACCGGGGAAGCTCTGGCTGCATGTTCCTCTGCTTTGGCCGAGGCAAATCTGGGTCGCTTTAGTTAGAGTTCAGCACGTCCTGCTGTCATCTTGGGCCTCTGCCTTGGTCTCGAGTGTGAGTCACTGGTGGGCCTGCCTTCAGGCCATCACTTGCACAGCTAGGTGAAGACCCCTGTGGGGACACCTGGATTCAGAGAACATGTCTCCACTGAGCACTTGGGCCATGATGGCGGCTCGTGGGGATGTTCCCAAAGGCAAGGGGGACGTCTGGCCAGTACCACCTGGAGCCCATCCCAGGGCAGTCTGTTGGGAGCAGGGAAAGGGGTACATGAGGCTCTGCTTGGGTGTCCACAGTAAACCCTGCAAGGATCAGTCACCTTGGACAGAGATCAGGCTTCATAACCGGACAGCCCCTGTGAGAATCCCAGCTGTGGCAGTTTGGGTAGTTTCTTTGCTTCTCTGAGCTGTGGCTTCTGTAGCTGTACAGTGGGACTCCCAAGGGAAGCTTCTGCAGAAGGCTGTCATGAGAGTGGAATGTGGTCTAAGGCACCGGTTCCTTAGCACTGCCGGACACCTGCCTGAGTCAGGAACACCGCTTGCATGCTCTCTTAACCATGGGAGGCAGCCTCAAGTCGAGCTTGCCTGGGGGATGGCTCATCGGCAGGCCAAAGATGTTTGTCCCAGAGCTGGCCCATACCCGGAGAACAGAACCAGTTTCTGCAGGGCAGGGTGAGATCCAGCCACTCTACCCTGTGTTGTCGTTGGCGACGGGGTTGTGGGAGAGGGGCTTGGTTTAGCAGAGGTGAGCAGAGAGGGGGTGGGAGGGGGCAAGGGGGCTCGTGCTAAAGAGTGAGCCCTGAGAGGGCAGATGGGCAGGAGGGGCTCCTCTGACCTGTGGGCCTGTTCCCCCGCAGGCTGGTGCACCATGTCGGTCAGTGTCCACGAGACCCGCAAGTCGCGGGGCAGCACAGGCTCCATGAACGTCACCCTCTTCCACAAGGCCTCCCACCCGGACTGCGTGCTGGCCCACCTCAACACGCTGCGCAAGCACTGCATGTTCACCGACGTCACGCTCTGGGCAGGCGACCGTGCCTTCCCCTGTCACCGTGCCGTGCTGGCCGCCTCCAGCCGCTACTTTGAGGCCATGTTCAGCCACGGCCTGCGGGAGAGCAGGGACGACACTGTCAACTTCCAGGACAACCTGCACCCAGAGGTGCTGGAGCTGCTGCTGGACTTTGCCTACTCCTCCCGCATCGCCATCAACGAGGAGAACGCGGAGTCGCTGCTGGAGGCGGGCGACATGCTGCAGTTCCACGACGTGCGGGACGCCGCCGCCGAGTTCCTGGAGAAGAACCTCTTCCCCTCCAACTGCCTGGCCATGATGCTGCTCTCGGACGCCCACCAGTGCCGCCGGCTGTACGAGTTCTCCTGGCGCATGTGCCTGGTGCACTTTGAGACGGTGCGGCAGAGCGAGGACTTCAATAGCCTGTCCAAGGACACGCTGCTGGACCTCATCTCCAGCGATGAGCTGGAGACCGAGGACGAGCGGGTAGTCTTCGAGGCCATCCTCCAGTGGGTGAAGCACGACCTGGAGCCGCGGAAGGCCCACCTGCCCGAGCTCCTCCGCAGCGTGCGGCTGGCGCTGCTGCCGTCAGACTGCCTGCAGGAGGCCGTCTCCAGCGAGGCCCTCCTCATGGCGGATGAGCGCACCAAGCTCATCATAGACGAGGCCCTGCACTGCAAAACCAGGATCCTGCAGAACGATGGCGTGGTCACCAGCCCCTGTGCCCGGCCACGCAAGGCAGGCCACACGCTGCTCATCCTTGGGGGCCAGACCTTCATGTGCGACAAGATCTACCAGGTGGACCACAAGGCCAAAGAGATCATCCCCAAGGCTGACCTGCCCAGCCCCCGCAAGGAGTTCAGCGCCTCGGCGATCGGCTGCAAGGTCTATGTGACGGGGGGCAGGGGCTCCGAGAACGGGGTCTCCAAGGACGTCTGGGTGTACAACACTGTCCATGAGGAGTGGTCCAAGGCGGCGCCCATGCTGATTGCCCGCTTTGGCCATGGCTCAGCTGAGCTGGAGAACTGCTTGTATGTGGTGGGGGGACACACGTCCCTGGCAGGTGTCTTCCCGGCCTCACCTTCGGTCTCCCTGAAGCAAGTGGAGAAATACGACCCTGGGGCCAACAAGTGGATGATGGTGGCCCCCCTGAGGGACGGCGTCAGCAATGCTGCAGTGGTGAGCGCCAAGCTGAAGCTCTTTGTTTTTGGAGGAACCAGCATCCACCGGGACATGGTGTCCAAAGTCCAGTGCTATGACCCCTCAGAGAATAGGTGGACGATCAAGGCTGAGTGCCCCCAGCCTTGGCGGTACACCGCCGCCGCTGTCCTGGGCAGCCAGATCTTTATCATGGGGGGTGACACGGAATTCACGGCTGCCTCGGCCTACCGCTTTGACTGTGAGACCAACCAGTGGACACGGATTGGGGACATGACCGCCAAGCGCATGTCCTGCCACGCCCTGGCTTCCGGCAACAAGCTCTATGTGGTCGGGGGCTACTTTGGGACCCAGAGGTGTAAGACCCTGGACTGCTATGACCCCACTTCAGATACATGGAACTGCATCACCACGGTGCCCTACTCACTCATCCCCACGGCCTTCGTCAGCACCTGGAAGCACCTGCCCGCGTGAGGAGCACCTGCCGAGCCCAGGTGAGCCCCTGGCAGCCCAGAGCCACTCTGGGTCTGGAAGGGTCATGGGGGAACGCAGTACCGCCTGCTCCCACTCTGGGTGAGGGTCACGGTGTCTTCCAGGGAAGTCTGGGTGGGCAGCAGGTGGCTGGTGTGCTCTGGTGTCAACTCCTGGCTCTGCCTTCTATTTGCAGTTAACCTGGAGCAAATTGTTCAACCAGGCTGCAAAATGGGGACAAAAACCTTAGTTAGACCAGCAGGGTGGTTTCTAAACATGGCTACACTTCAGAATCACCCAGGGATCTTTTGACAATGCCCTGTGGAACTTGGGTCAACCTGCAAAGTCTGAGGGTGCGATCTCCACACAGCCTGCTCTTAGTTTTGACAACAGGTGCAACAAAGGGGGCCCCCCAAACCACCCTCTGTCAGTTTTGCCTGAAGGACTTACAGAACTCGCTGAAGGCTGTTAGGCTCACACTTACAGTTTATTACAGGGAAAAGATACAGATTAAGCTAAGCCAAGGGAAGAGATGTACAGTAGGGCAGAGTCCAGGAGAATGGCCCCTCCCCATGAAATCAGGACAGTGTTACTCTCCCCACACTGATGAGTGTTGATATGTATGAAGACTGCCAACCAGGCCCAGGCGCAATGGCTCACACCCGTAATCCCAGCACTTTGGGAGGGCTGAGGTGGGCAGATGGCTTGAGCCTAGTTCAAGACCAGCCTGGGCAACATGGCAAAACCCTGTCCTACTAAAAATACAAGAAAAATAGCCAGGTGTGGTGGTTGCACACCTGTAATCCCAGCTACTTGAGGGGCTGAGGTGGGAAGGATCACTTCAACCTGGGAGACAGAGGCTGCAGTGAGCCAAGATCATGCCACTGTACTCCAGTGTGGGTGACAGAGCGAGACTCCATCTCAAAAAAAAAAAAAAAGATTGCCAACCAGCATGTCTACATGGTGGAGTCCCCCAAATAACGCCAAAACCTGCATGGTGGGGACAGGCAGCCTTGGTTTGGGTGCTGTCTCTCCTGAGGGCAGCTGTGTGCTCACCAGCGTGCAGGGGCTGGGGAGAAGTCCTTCCTCAAAGCCGCAGGCATCTGGCTTGAGCGAGGTCATCCTCGAGGGCCTTGGAGTAGGACTTCCGCAGAGCAGGTGTCCGTGGGTTGCTGCTGCACCTTCACTGTGTGGAATTGCTGTGAAAACAGGCGACATGCAAAGGGCTTTATAGGAGGTGATGGTGGGACGGAGACACTGGGAGCAGCTTGGGCCAGGCTCTGTGGACCTGCAGTGAAGAGAAGGAACGGGCGGGAGGAAGGTCTCATCTGCTGCTGGTGCAATCTCCTGAGAAGCTGAGCTGGGGGCAGGGTCAGTGTGGGGTCCTGCCATGAGAGAGGGTGTCCCAGCCAGCGTGGCAGGGTAATGGGGTAGATGCCAGAGAAGGGCTTTGTGCCTAACACGCCCTCTGTGGCCCGGCCTGGGAAAGGCCAGGGTGTGTGCCACTTCGCCTTTCTCCAGCTCTTGCTCTCCTGGGCCCCTCACCCCTGGGATGGGGGCAGGAGATCCCTGGATACACTCTGCCTTCAGCACAAGTGAAGACTGTGGAAGACAAGCTTTCCTGCCCGAGGGAGCCTCCTGCAGTGCTGGGCGGTGGCACTGATCCCTGTTTGTGGGCTCAGCTTCAGGTCACGGGAACCCTGTCAGGAGCTGGCCTGAGCTAGAAAATTAATTTTCTCGATGAGCCGGCGGCTGCTGACACAAATGCTGAAAGCTCTCCCCAGCAAAGTCGGTCACTGTTAGCTGGGATTGCTTCTCAATGGAACCTGATGGTTCAGCCTCTAAATCAGACCCAGCCAAGCCTTTGAGTCCCTTCAAGAGACACAATGAAGGCTGGGCGCGGTGGCTCACGCCTGTAACCCCAGCACTTTGGGAGGCCGAGGCGGGCGGATCACAAGGTCAAGAGAGCGAGACCATCCTGGCCAACATGGTGAAACCCCATCTCTGTTAAAATACAAAAATTAGCTGGGCGTGGTGGCGTGCGCCTGTAGTCCCAGCTACTCGGGAGGCTGAGGCAGGAGAATTGCTTGAACCTGGGAGGCGGAGATTGCAGTGAGCCGAGATTGTGCCACTGCACTCCAGCCTAGCGCCTGGCGACAGAGCAAGACTCTGTCTCAAAAAAAAAAAAAAGGGAAAAAAAAAGGAGAGAGAGAGGGACACGATGCAGGCGAGGACGGCCCGGGCCCAGGCATCTAATCGGCAAACACGGTGTTTGGGCTCACAGAGGCCAGCCTGAATAGGAGCACTGCTTTTCTTCTCTTTTTTTGAGATGCAGTTTCACTCTGTCACCCAGGCTGGAGCGCAGTGGAGTGCTATCTGCAACCTCCACCTTTCAGGTTCTAGCGATTCTTGTGCCTCAGCCTCCTGAGTTGCTGGAATTATAGGCATGAGCCACCACACCCGGCCCACTTTTCTCTTTTACAGCTTTTCTGTTTTCTTTCTTTCTTTTTTTTTTTTGAAACAGAGTCTCGCTCTGTCACCCAGGCTAAAGTGCAGTGGCGCGATCTCAGCTCACTGCAACCTCTGTCTCTCAGGTTCAGGCAATTCTCCTGCCTCAGCTTCCCAAGTAAGGGGGGCTACAGGCATATGCCACCATACCCAGCTACTTTTTGTATTTTTAGTAGAGACAGGATTTCACCATGTTGGCTAGGCTGGTCTTAACTCCTGACCTCAGGTAATCCACCTGCCTCAGCCTCCCAGAGTGCTGGGATTACAGGTGTGAGCCACTGCCCCCAGCCTTCATCTTTTTTTTTTTTTTTTTTTTTTTTTTTTTTTAATGTGCTCTCTTTGGAGAAAAATCAGACCTGCCAAATGTCCTAATTTCCTGAGGAGTGAGATTCCAAGAGGATACTGGCATTTCCTCATTAATTCCCTGTTGCTATTCTCTAGATCATTTAGGAACCTGGGGAATGTCACTTGTGGGAAATGGAGGCTCCTTCCACCCCAGGCCAGCCAGCCAGGGAAGGGTGAGGGGGCCCATGCCGCTGGCCCCAGGCAGCTAAAACCATCTCTTGTCTGAACCTCCAGACCAGGGCTGCCCCAGAGGCTCCCTCCCACCTGGCCCTGGCTGTCAGCTGGACCTAGTGAATTACGTGTCTTCCAGGAATTGCTCTGCTCCGGCGCCCTGGAAGGGAAGCATGCACAGTGCCTTTGCTGTGACTTTTTTGGCTGTTCCACCCTGGACTGGTTACTTGATTCCCCTGAGGCTCAGCTTCCCCATCTGGACAATGGGAGTGGAAATCGTATTACTCACAGCACTTGAATAGAGATAAACGATTGACACTTTCAGAAGCAGCTTCAAAAGGGGTAGCCATGGAGGACGGGGGATGCTGATGATGATGGTTTTGGTGTGCTGTGGGTTGCAAGGGCCTCTAGATGTCCCTGCTTAGCCCCTCCCTCTAGAAAGGCCCATCCACCCATGACTGCTCTTCCTCTGTGGGCACACGCCCTGTTCCTGCCTGAGTCCTCCTCAGTCTGTCATGGGGTTGCTGTCATCAGCCCCATTTAGGGATGAAGAGGTGGACACACAAGACTGGGCCAGTCCCAGATCTGACTGGGAAGTTACTTCCAGACCCTGTCATCCCAGAGCCATGTCCCCAAGGCATTCGTAAGCCGCTCTGGGCTGCGTGTTTCCCAGCGGCCACGCCGAATCTGGGTTGCTCTTAGGCTTCTGCCATTGCCCTGCGTTCTAGCCGCTTCTTTCTCATGGGCCTGGCAGCCATTCAGAGACCCTCTGCACAGCCCCTCTTCCGCCTGAGGCCACCCTACTCCCATGGCTTCTGTCTCCTCGGGGTGACCCTGGGTTGTTCCCATGCTCTGCAAAGCCCCTCCTGTTCACCTTCTGCCTGGACAGCTCAGTCTCCTAGTTGTCTTCAAAGGCGAGGAGTGAACTGGGCTCTCCACAGATGGGCCTGCATCACAGAAGCCAATACCCAGGCATGCCTAGCCCTCCCCGCGTCCCTAGGAAAGGGAACCACAGTGGCTGCAAGCAGAGCTCTTGCTGCTGGGCCACTCAGGCGGCCACTGTGGCACTGCCAGGGCTGAGCCAGAGGAGAGCCCCCGACTCAGGCAGCTGCAAACTGGGGCCTGTGCTGTGGCTCTGAGTGGGAGGAGGGGCAGAGCCCTGGAACCAGACAAGGCTTGTGGGGAGCTGGGTGGAGTGCCCTCGACAAGGACAGAGCCAGAAAGGGTGGAAACAAGTACACCTACCTCCTACCCCCCCACCCCAGGGTGGGCTCCCCTCGTGAACACAGCACTCCTCACTGAGCCCAGGTCATCGGCCACCTAGAGTGTCATCTGGCAGTGCCTGGGCCCGAGATGGCTTCTGTTGCCACCCCACCCCCACCCCCCGCATTCCCCTCCCTGACCCTGCTGTCCCAGGCAGAAGCGGGGATCAGGCCAAGGGTGCTGGTGAGAAGTCCAGCTCTCGCCAGTCCCCGTGAACGTGGCTGAGTTTCCCGCGTCCACGCCGGGCCCAACTGTCCCTATGCCTGGAGGGCCCTTTGCAGGATTTTGACATAAGCTTCAGAAGCCACCAGGAGGTCCTCTGGACACTGTGGCCTCCTGTTGGAGCTCTTGGTAGGTGTGAGCATCTGCATGGCGTCCCGTCATACTCCAGAGCTGTTTGTCGGCGGTCCTGCTGTGACAGGACGCCGACTAGGGCTCCGAGAGGGGAGACAGTTGCCATCAGATGAACAGTGAGTAAGGCTGGAGCAGGACTGGAACCCTGAGTGTGCTGTGTGCCTGCAGGCGCGTCTAGGGAGCTGGCCACGGGCATCCTCACGTCTGTGCCCCTGGCACAGAGAACAGGCTTGGCCAGCAGCTGCCCAGAAGCAGCGGGGAATTGCTGAGCGGGAGCCTGGGTGATGGCAGGACCTCCAGGGCAGCCCCTTGCTCCAGTGTTGGGGTTAGATCCACGGCCTAGGGGATAGAAGCCAGCGGCCACAGGAGGCGCCTGGTTACCCCGTAAGGGTGGTCTTGGCTGCAAACGTTCTCTCCTTTTCTCTCCCACTGGGTACTCCCCCCAACCCTTCTCTCCCCAGCCGCCTCCAGCATGGGGGGTTGCCGAATGCCAGGCAGGCGTTCAGCTGCCGACAGCTCGTCCTCCCTTCACAGGCGTTACTGGGGCCCAGCCACTGTAGCCACTGGGGTGCAGGGCAGGGGCTCCAGTCGCAGCCCTGGGAAAGGCCAAGCTCTTTAATCACTGTGGCTTTCACTGCTGCAGAAGGGGCAGTGCAGCACCTTCTCTCCTGCCTTAAAAGAAGTTGGTACAGGCCAGGCATGGTGGTTCACGCCTGTAATCCCAGCACTTTGGGAGGCCGAGGTGGGCGGATCACCTGAGGTCGGGAGTTCGAGACCAACCTGACCAACATGGAGAAACTCCATCTCTACTAAAAATATAAAAAATTAGCCTGGTGTGGTGGCACTTGGCTGTAATTCCAGCTACTCGGGAGGCTGAGGCAAGGAAATTGCTTGAACCCCGGGAGGTGGAGGTTGCAGTGAGCCAAGATGGCGCCATTGCACTTCAGCCTGGGCAACAAGAGTGAGACTGTCTGAAAAAAAAAAATTGCTACAGGTGGGAAATCTCAGAGTGCAGGCCTGAGGGTTTCTACCAGCCTCGAGGATTGGGCCTGGCTAGGCAAGTGCCCAGGATCGGGGTCTGTCCGTCCAGTTATCAGCAGTCATTTGTTTCTGTGCCGGGCTGGGGGATAGGGCACCATCCCACCCTTGATGGTACAGGCAGAGTCCAGCAGGGCAAGCCCTACACCAACCCACAGGACGCACGCTGGCCAGGGCCTGCTGCACACAGTAAATGCAGGGCGGCCGCTGACCCCCCATCCACTCTGCGAGCTGGAGGATTAGCCCAGTTCATAGATGAGGAGGCCAGGCCCCAGGGAGCACCTGCCAAAAATTAAAGGGGCCCAGCCTGGGACGGAACACAGGAGCCTGGCCGTGAGGCTCCCCAGCTCCTAAGCTGTCGTCTGTATTCCTCTCAACAGCTCAGGGCGCGTTGAGGGGTACCCCCAGGTAGGTGGCATGGATGTTTAGTTCCAGGTAGCAGTGAGGCCTCGCCATGAAGGGACCACATGTTGGCATGTGCTGTTGCTGGGACAGGGGCAGGATCGGGCGGCCAGGCCCCAGAGGACAGGGTTTGCCATCTTAGAGGGGTCAGGGGCAGGATCGGGCGGCCAGGCCCCAGAGGACAGGGTTTGCCATCTTAGAGGGGTCAGGGCCAGGATCGGGTGGCCAGGCCCCAGAGGGCCGGCTTTGCCATCTTAGAGCATCTCAGGGACCCCTGTGAACCCAGCTTCACTTGTGAGGAGCTTGGAGGCATTTGGGGACCTTCTCAGCGACACAACCCAGCCTCTGTATCCGGAAACAACTTGACCACCTGGGAGGGCAGAATTCCTGCAGAGCAGCCTTGAGAGAGCAGAGGGCCCAGCGCTGTGAGGGATGGAGAGGTGCACCCCACTTAAAGGGGAAAGTCCCGCAGGCTTCAGTGCTTTAATTGAAGTGTGTTACTAAGGTTACTTGGATACACACATACAACTAGAAAACTCTTACGTTCTTGGTCTTACACAACTGTAAAGCTAACACGTACCGGTTAAATACAACCAAAGCCAAAATCCCCGGATAGCGTCAACCATTAATCATGACTTTGCTGAGACTCCTTGCCTCGTGGAGCGGATGAACACACAGGGTTGCTAGAGGGCTCTGCCTGCCTCTGCCCCCGGTGTGGGAGGGCTCACCTCTTTCCCTTTCGGGGCCTCGGAGAGGCATAATGTGGGAGGGAACTTCATATTAGAGGAATTGGCTTGCTTGATGGAGGCTGAGAAGTCCTGTGTTAGGCTGCAAGGTGCAGAACCAGGAAAGCGGAGGGCAGAGCTCAGGCCACGTACTAAGGCCCCAGAGCCTGGGGCGGGGGTGGGGTGGTGAGCAGCAAGTCCCAGAGTCCAAAGGCCAGAGAACCTGGAGCTCTGTTGCCTGAGGGCAGGAAAAGAGCAACCTAGCTCCAGAAGGAAGAAGCCTGAGTTCCTGTTTCATTAGCTCTGTGCTCTAGCAGGGACCCAGCCCGTCAGATGGTGCGGGCCTGCACTGGGGGAGGATCTTTCCCACCCAGGCCACGGCTCTCACACTGGTGCCCTCTGGAAGCAACCACACAGATGCACCGGGACAGCCCAGCCATTCACAAGTACCAGGCCGCCTGCATTTCCCTTCCAGGAGAAGAGGGCCAGGCTCAGCACCTGCGGCAGCACTTAAAATACACAACTTGCCCCCCTGGACCTCTGGGTATCCCCAAATCCAATCAAGTTGACATCTAAATCATCTGTCACACTCGGTGGGGGAAGCAGGCCCCGGGTGCCTGAATCGCTGGGGAGTGTGCTGCTGGCGCGCGCTGCGTCCGGAGTTCTCACGCCTGAGCCCCACAGGCAGCTGCTTCATTGTCATTTTGTTCCCGATCAGGACAGAACAATGTGGCCACTGATTGATTTTCTCTTTCTTTCATCCCTCCACAGACTGCGGCCCTCAGTGTCACAACGTGGCCTTGGCTTGTCTGCCACAGCGGGAGCTCAGCCAGCCCTGGGCCAGCACTCCGAGAGGTGGAAGGGGCTCCGCCAACTCTGGGGAGCAGCAGCCTTCAGCTGTTCTGAGCCTGAGGCGAGAAGAGAAGTGTCTCTTGCAGCTGTGCCCCCGGGGGCCTTCTCAGCTTTGCAGTGGTTTGTGGGAAGAGATTCCTTCCAGAGGGGCATAGATGCCACCAGGACCGACCTTGGCCTCGGCGAGAAGGACGCCTTGAGATCGAGATCACCTTTTTGGCAGGTCCTGAACTGGGGCCCGGCAGGCAGGGGCAGGGAGGAGCCCTGGGTGGGCGTCAGGGCCCGCAGCACTGCTGGCACAGCCCGTTCCTCCCGGCCTGCCCTGCTGGGGCTGAATTGCCATCTGTAGATGGTGTCCCAGGCCTGGGAAACCAGGTCCCAGGTTGAGACCAGAAAGGTGATGAGGAGAGAACCTGGGACAGATTTTATAAGGGGCAGAAATTCTGCAGGGGGCCTCAGTGACATCCACAAGGACGCCCAGACCTCCAAGGTCTGTGGACCCCTCCTGCAAAGCTGTAAGTCCCAGCCCACCCACTCAGGGCCTTACCCAGTGCATGGCCCGGTGGGAACACAGATGATCGTGCCCACTCACTGGAGCTGGGCCTGTGGCAGGGTCAAGGTTTCAAGTACCCTCAGGGACCTCCCCTCCTCAGAGCCCACCCTGAGAGGCAGCAGTGACCCCCATCGCACACGCCTGCCGGCCGCACTGGGGGCTCCCTCCCAGCAGACCGCGCCAAGACCAGCAGCACTGGGGGCTCCCTCCCGGCAGACCGCACCAAGACCAGCAGCACTGGGGGCTCCCTCCCGGCAGACCTCGCCAAGACCAGCAGCACTGGGGGCTTCCTTCCAGCAGACCACGCCAAGACCAGGAGCAGGTGCAAGCTGGAGATAGCAGAGGGACCCCAGGGTGTGCCCTGCAGATGGCACCAGGGCCACATCCGTCTCGTGTGGAGGACAGTGGCGTCCTCACCCCCCTCTTTTGTCTTGGGCCCTGTCTGCTCCCTGAGCTCCAGGATAAGAAGAATGGCCCCAAGGGACCTGCCTAGATCTCTTCATTGCTGTCACCTCCTCGGTCACTGGGGTCCCTCACCAGTACCTCCCTCACACCTGGGCTATGGGGAGGTTGGCACCTGTCAGTGACTAGCCTAACACCTCTCGTCCACTCCAAGCCACCATTTGAGGGGGGCGGAGGTGTTGGTATCCTGGCAGGGGGCTGGGCAGGGTGTCTACACCTGTGGCTTCTCAGGCATCTGCAGTGTGAACACCGCTTGGCTGGCTCGGGATTAGGGCAGCAGTGGGGGCTGCGCCACAAAGCAGTTACTTAAGCAGCCCCGACTGTCCCTGTGCCTTGGTGGGGGTCCTGGAGGCCTCTTGGGGAGTGGGACCTTTGGGCAGGGTTGCCCACTGATGCACTTCTGCCATGGGGTGCTGGCTACATGGAGCTCCATGGACCTTATAGACCCAGCAGATCCCGCCTGAAGACACTTGGCTGTGGTCCCAGGGCATGGCTCTGCCAGGCCTGCAGGGAGGGCGCCTGGACTTTATCTTGGTTGAGATAAAGCACACTTCTCACATAGCACAAAGGACGTGCCGTGGTGCTTTCCCCAAAGTTGTGTTGCTTTTGTCAGTTTTTTTAGCTTAATAAAAAGAGAAGTTTCTTGGCCTGCCTTGTGTGCTGGGCTCGGTCTTGGAGACATGGCTGTTGTCCGACTTCGGTTCTGTCCCACCAGCCAAGGCTCAAAGACTGCCTGCTGGCATCTGCCCCTCATGAGCTGGGAACTGGGGGCCCACCCAGATGAGAGCTCCCCCCCACCCCAGTTCCTGTGCCTCCTAAAGTTACTTTAGAAGGCACAAAATTGATTGATGTGGAGAGTCCTGATCCTCTCTGCCTCTCCTCCTGAGAGCAGTTATCTCCTGGAAACTGGTAAATACAAGCTGGGAATGTAATTCCATCCATTCGAAAAGGTAGAACCCCCAGTCGATGCTCCTTTGTCTGAAAATAACCTAAGTGCAATTCCCAGGGGTGAGATGGCTCCAGGAGGCAGCTTCTCGGTCGCAGCGCCAGCTCACAGCACCATTGGCGCCTGTTGGTTGCACCGCGGGCCCTGGTCTACCTGCCCTCCTTGTGCCTTTTCTAGTCACCATGAACCTCGAGAGCTCAAGCGTCTGCCCACAGGTAAACATTGTGTTCTGTATTCTGTGGTCTGACCTTCAGGCACCCCTCAGACAGCAGGTAGCCCAAGAGGTCATGCTGTGGCACAGCCTGGGTGCAGGGTGGCTGTGCTGTGAACTGGAACCCAGAGGTGACCCGGAACAGTGACTCTCAGTGGTGGCTTCCGTGGTGGTCAGTGGCGGCTTCCGTGGTGGTCAGTGGCATGCCAGCCCGCCAAATCCAAATGGGGCTTTCACAGTGTAAGAAGTGCTTCAGATGCTAACGTATGGGCCTAAGGCCATATTCCTTAAAAATTGGAATGATCTTGAGTGAATGTGTGTGTCTCAGAGGTGAGTATGGTGCATGAGCATACTCCACCAGGCCCTCCCAGGCTGCCCCTAGTCACAGCCTGGGAAGGGCGTCTTGGCGCTCGCCTGGCACTGTCTGCCTGCAGCAGTGCTGGGGATCACAGATGAATGCCACCGCTTCCACACGGCCCTGAGCTCAGCCCTCTGGGCACCCGACGCCAGGAGTTGGCTCCAGCTAGAGTCCTGTGAGTACAGCCCAGACAGCAGCGGAGGTGACGTTCCCTGTCACGCAGCCACAGGGTGAGTGTGAGCCCCGGCCGGACAGTCACAGAACCAGTATGAGCTGGCCGTGGCCCACGGGGTTCCATATTGCACCCCACCTCCTGTCTCCCTGCCCCATCTTCCATGCTAGGCAGCGGTTTCCTGGTCCACCCTGGCGATCCCAGCCCTGGCCACCCCATTTGCATTCTCCCAAGGACTAGAACTCAGTCACATCGATGCCTGACTGCGAGCGGGACTGGGAAGTGTCCCGAGAAGACTCCAGGATTCCAACACCAAGTAAAAGGAGCATGGACATTAAGACGGCAACCTCTTTCTCTCCATGCTGGGTCAGGGGTTGGAACCGGGGCACACCGCCTGCCTCCTGCTTCTCTGGGAGCCGCTGTCCGCCGAGAGCCTGGCTCTGTGCTGCTGACATTGGTCAGACCCCCACTGTGTGCTACCCACTGGCCAGCATTTTGCATAATTACCTCCTTTAACCCTTGCAGTGACCCCCGGAGGTAGACATTCTTGTCTTCATCTTGCTGATGAGGAAATGGGCCCAGAGGTCACTGTAACTTGCCTAAGGTCTCACGCTAGTAGGAGGAGGAGAAGGGGGCAACACAGTTGCAATTGACAGAATGTGGACTCTGGAGCCGGGCCCACCTGGGCTTGGGTTCAAGCGCTCGTGTATGTACAAGCTTGGTTAAACCACTTGATCCTTTGATAGAGGCTTAATGATGTCAGGGTTGAGTTGAGGTCAAGTTCTATAAAGCACTAAACACCATGACCAGTGCCCAGATAACCCTTTACAGGGGGAGAATGGCCACCTCATTGCAGCGGAAGTGGGATTTGAAACCAAGCCACATGTTACGTTGTGGGGGCTGGGAGGGGTGTTGCTTCCAGTCATTCCCCAGCAGGCCCACTTCCATGTTCCTTGGCCTCCCAGGGGTCAGACTGAGTCTAGGATGCGGCTTTGGGAAGGGAGAAGGCGCACTCCCCATCAGTGATGGTGTGAGGTCTCCCTGGAAACCTCGGCCCCAAGATGGCCAATGCAGCTTTCCTGGGTTGTGCCTGATGCAGGAGAGAAAATGGGCTATCTCAGGGACTTTGGCATCCTGAGAACCTGCCTGGGGGCACTATCGAGTTGCCAAGGCCAAGGAGAAGGTAGCCAACTGCCTCCTCCACCCAGCGGCTCAGCCAGGTTTCCCTGCCTTCAAAGGGCCCTTCTTTGCCCAGGAACTGACAAGAATGAGCCCAAAGTCATCCACCCCAAGGGTGTGTGGCAACCACCCCTTGCTCAACACCCAAGGCTGTAAATCACAGTGGGAAAAGAAGCAACCTCTTCAGACGCAGTTGTCTGTAATGAGCGCGGCTTGGAAAGCGCCTCAGTTCTTCTGCATCATTGGGAGGATATTGTGCAGAGTAAGAAACTTGCATGCCCTGCCTGTCATGTCCCTCCCGGCCCGGATGGATCCACCCAGACTCTGTCCTTCAGGAGGTAGGAATGGTCTTGTAACTTGCAGAAGTGATTGGCCCCCAGCTGCTCTCCTGCCCTCAGGCCCAGTCCTACTTGACCTGCAGCTTGCCCTGCCCACAGCACCTGCAGAGGTTCAGGCCCTGCCCAGGGAGCCCGGGTGAGTCGGGTGAATTTCCCAGGATGGGCACAGTATTGTCCCGCATTTTCATTTGCCCTGTTGGGCTTTGGGATGTGGCTCTGCTTCATTAAGGGTCAAGGAAAAGCCTAGAAGAGGCCACATTTTTTTTTTTTTTAATATATAGATATTTTATTACCCTTTAGGTTCTGGGCTACATGTGCAGATCTTGCAGGATTGTTGCATAGGTACATACATGGCAATGTGGTTTGCTGCCTCCATCCCCCGGTCACCTATATCTGGCATTTCTCCCCATGTTATCCCTCCCCAGCATCCCTATCCCCCACTGTCCCTCCCCTATTCCCCCACAACAGACCCCAGTGTGTGATGCTCCCCTCCCTGTGTCCATGTGTTTTCATTGTTCAGCACCTGCCTATGAGTGAGAATATGTGGTGTTTGATTTTCTGTTCTTGTGTCAGTTTGCTGAGAATGATGGTTTACAGATTCATCCATGTCCCTACAAAGGACACGAACTCATCATTTTTCATGATTGCATAGTATTTCATGGTGTATATGTGCCACATTTTCCTTGTCCAGTCTGTTGTCGATGGGCATTTGAGTTGGTTCCATGTCTTTGCTATTGTAAACAGTGCAGCAGTGAACATACGTGTGCATGTGTCTTTATAATAGAATGATTTGTAATCCTTCGGGTATATACCCAGTAATGGGATTGCTGGGTTAAATGGAATTTCTATTTATAGGTCCTTGAGGAATCGCCACACTGTCTTCCACAATGGTTGAACTAATTTACACCCCCCAGTAACAGTGTAAAAGTGTTCCTATTTCTCCACATCCTCTCCAGCATCTGTTGTCTCCAGATTTTTTAATGATCACCATCCTAACTGGTGTGAGATGGTATCTCAATGTGGTTTTGATTTGCATTTCTCTGATGACCAGTGATGTTGAGCTATTTTTCATATGTTTGTTGGCCTCATAAATGCTTCTTTTGAAAAGTGCCTGTTCATATCCTTCACCCATTTTTGAATGGGTTTGTTTGTTTTTTTCTTGTAAATCTGTTTTAGTTCTTTGTAGATTCTGGATATTAACCCTTTGTCAGATGAGTAGATTGCAAACATTTTTTCCCATTCTGTTGTTGGTTCACTCTAATGATTGTTTCTTTTGCTGTACAGAAGCTCTGGAGTTTAATTAGATCCCATTTGTCTATTTTGGCTTTTGTTGCTAATTCTTTTGGTGTTTTAGTCATGAAGTCCTTGCCTATGTCTATGTCCTGAATGGTTTTGCCTAGGCTTTCTTCTAGGGTTTTTATGGTGTTAGTCCTTATGTTTAAAGTCTCTAATCCATCTGGAGTTAATTTTAGCGTAAGGTGTCAGGAAGGGGTCCAGTTTCTGCTTTCTGCACATGGCTAGCCAGTTTTCCCAACACCATTTATTGTAAAGGAATCTTTTCCCCATTGTTTGTTTTTGTCAGGTTTGTCAAAGATCAGATGGTTGTAGATGTGTGGCATTGCTTTCGAGGCCTCTGCTCTGTTTTATTGGTCTATATCTCTGTTTTTGTACCAGTACCATGCTGTTTTGATTACTGTAGCCTTGTAGTATAGTTTGAAGTCAGGTAGCATGATGCCTCCAGCTTTGTTCTTTTTGCTTACGATTGTCTTTGCTATGTGTGCTCTCTTTTGGTTCCATATGAAGTTTAAGGTGGCTTTTTCCCAGTTCTGTGAAGAGGGTCATAGGCAGCTGGATGGGAATAGCGTTAAATCTATAAATTACTTTGGGCAGTATGGCCATTTTCATGATATTGATTCTTCCTAACCATGAGCATGGGATGTTTTTCCATCTGTTTGTGTCCTCTCTTATTTCGTTGAGCAGTGGTTTGTAGTTCTCCTTGAAGAGGTCCTTTACATCCTTTGTTAGTTGTATTTCTAGGTATTTTATTCTCTTTGTAGCAATTGTGAATGGCAGTTCATTCTTGATTTGGCTTTCTTTAAGTCTGTTATTGGTGTGTAGGAATGCTTGTGATTTCTGCACATTGATTTTGTATCCTGAGACTTTGCTGAAGTTGCTTATCAGTTTCAGGAGATTCTGGGCTGAGACGATGGGGTCTTCTAAATATACAATCATGTTGTCTGCAAATAGAGACAGTTTGACTCCCTCCTTTCCTAACTGAACCTTTATTTCTTTTTCTTGCCTGATTGCTCTGGCTAGAACTTTCAATACTATATTGAATAGTAGTGGTGAGAGTGGGCATCCTTGTCTAGTGCCAGATTTCAAAAGGAGTGCTTCCAATTTTTTGCCCATTCAGTATGATATTGGCTGTAGGTCTGTTGT